AAATCTTTCAAAAGTTCCTTTTTAGTATCCGCATCTGATTTGAATTACTTGTCGAATATATTCTTGAACAGTAAATTTGTTCGTAAGGAATAAAGATATAAGCTGAGTAGAACATACAGGAACCTGCTATGTGTCTTCCTTGTAAAGATTTTTCTGAAGATAAAAAGAAACTTTTTGCATTTTATTGCTTCTTTATAAGAACAAGCGTGTCAATTCATCGGAAGCTGGCAAAACAATAATTGGAAAAGTACACTCCTCGGGAGGGAAAATTAAAAAAAACTAATAATAATGTTTGTTCAATATCAGTAACATTTTTAAACATGAAGCATGAAGCAGATGTTTTTATAGAGTTTATACTTGGAATACCGAAATTGAGTGTATTTATCAAAACTCTAATGAAAAGTTTGAGAATTCTCTGAATATCTTCACTTACTAAACAAAACAACCAACAGACAGAAATGTTTATGATTAGTATAATGTTTTATATTTATTCCCTGCATTAAATTTAATTAAGGTCGTCTTCTTTCCCTGATCAACACGTTGTTCTCGAGAAGTATCTACTGTAGGGCAAGCAATACATATGCCTCCTGTCACACTACTGGTGTTTTCAGGAGAATGTGAGTTTGTACAGTGAACGATCTGTTTGTTTAAGAGAGTTTAAGAGATTTATCATAGATAAAAGGGAAATTTTTTACTTGTTAGTTCAATTTCCCACTTAAAATTGTATATGCGATGGAAACACTTTGCTAAAAGTCCATCAAATACTAAAATAGCACGCATACAGACAACATTGACCCAGAATTATCCTACCATATTAACAATGGAATAAAAACACCTGTATGAAGTTTCATAACTTTATTAATGAAACTTTGAGCATAACTAACAAACATTTGTTACAATAAACATAATTAGAGATGAATTGCCGTAAATTATGTGGGAGGTTGGGTTTACCTACAAATGTATTAAAATACATATTGCCCGGACCGAACGGTCACCACGTTCTTGACCAGTGTATTTGGAACTACTTTTCTCCCTTTCTCCAATGCCACCTGGTTTACACATTTACTTCACTAGACTGTGGCATTCTTTTTCCTGTGCGAGGTGGAGGTGGGACGAGTCATGGCAGGTCACGAACCACGGATATTACCATATCATGTTACCTTTGACAGCTTATGTTCTACACGTACTTATGCATTGATATTGACAGTTGTGTTTGAAAAACTTCAAGAGTACTGTGCAACAATATATTCAAGAAGTTGTGTGAATCAGATGGGGATACTCAAAAATTCAAAAGGACTTTTGAACTATTTGAAATCACAAGACTTTACCAAAATCAACAGCTTAAAAACTAAGGACTTTTCAATTTTATAGAGAGTCATTACTCACGAAAAATTAAAGTCCAGGCTTTTTGATATCATTGACAGCTGCTTTTAAAAATTAAAATGGAACTCGTAAAATAACTTACCTGGTCATTGGTCATTTAAAAAAATATTTTGTTAAAACACATTCTAATTGCTTAAACAAGTACTCTGACATCAAAGAGTTGTTTGAGTTTCTGATTGACAATATCTATGTGGTCTTAGGAGACCAGGTATTCCAACAATCTTTTGGAATTCCCATGGGTACCAATTGCACTCCGTTATTATCAGACCTTTTTTTATATTCATATGAAGCAGAATTTGTGCAATATTTTATGCGTGAAAAGAAGAAAACACTTGCTGTGGCCTTCAACTCGACATTTAGATCTATCGACGACGTGTGAATCAACAGTGGTAAGTTTCATTCCTACATCAATTCGATATATCCTGGTGAGCTTGAGATAAAACATACCACATAGTCGGACACATCTGTTTCATACCTGGTTATTTTACTTGAAAAAGATGTTTATAGTAATCAAACAACCAAGCTATAACTTTATATAACTTTAACTTTTCTATCGTCAATTTCTCTTACTTATGCAGCAAAATACCTTCATCACCTGCATACGTAATATATATATATATATATATATATATATATATATATATATATATATATATATATATATATATATATATATATTAAAAAAAGCTAAAAAGAAAACACAAAAATCCTCAGTTAAGCTTTAGCGCTTTCATTTTCAATCTTCAGAAGCTTATAATAGTATCATAGTAACAGTGATTATGACGTCATGTTAAGCGGAACGTTAAATGTCTATTATGACGTCATAGATACAATATGACAAAAGTACGGGGAAATCACAAGTAATTTATAAAACTCTATTAAGTTTTGGCTGAAAAATACTAATAAAATGTTTTTCTTCTTCTTTTGTGTTTTTGTGTTTTCTTTTTAGCTTTTTTTAATATTGTTATCCGAAAAGCGCTAAAGCTTAACTGAGGATTTTTGTGTTTTCTTTTTAGCTTTTTTTAATATTGTTATCCGATTACTGAGACTTTATTTAAATTTTGGATATATATATATATATATATATATATATATATATATATATATATATATTTATGTAGCTCTTGTACATATCAATCAATATATCAAATATATTAAATACTAAAATTAAAAACACTAAATAGTATTGTTATACCTCTTCTGTTATTACCCTTTATAAATTTAATACCATGAGGTAACTGATAATATAATCAGTGATATCATAATGTCAGCTGTTCTTAAAATTAAGTACAACTTTCAGCAAAAATTTATTGTAAACTTTTATTATAAGAACGATATCCTAAATATTACACAGTGTGTGATGATGAAAAATATCCAGACCAGTAGTTATGTCTAGTTTTCGCATATTAGAAAATATAATTAGAGAGTTTGAACTAAATTATAAAGTGAAAAGATGAAAGACAGTTAAATCCCCCCATTCCCTCTCATAAATTCAAGAAGAGATGAGAACAATATCAAAGTGAAGTAAAACATTGAGAAAACCTCATGAAAGTTAGATCTAAGTTACTATTATAAGTTTAGGGAAATGTATTGTTACAATGCGGGTAAGTGTATCGATTTTTTCATTTAGAAATCTTAAATTTTGATTAGTGTGTGTCTGCATACATGCAAGATTTCAGCATTTAAAGCCAGTTGACGTTCAAAGTATGTTTAAGTTTGCAAGATTGATTGAAAGGAAGAGCGAAAGAAGTGGACACCAACATATAAGTGTGTAAAGACACGTTTATTTAAATACAACTTTAAATAAAAAAATAATATATATGTGCCCTTTGGAGGTTCTAAAAAGCGAGATGTAAAACAAGGAAAGTATCAAGTATTCTGTGAAACTTACAAAACAGTGGTCAGAAAATTTGGAGCATTTAAAGTCTCTTAAGTTATTTAAGACAATGTTGGGGAAACACGTGGAGAATAACATTTTAGGATTTGTTCCCATAGTAACTGAAGTAGAGAATGTTGGACATTTCTGACTCAAAAAAATAATTTTGAATAAATGCTGATTAAATTGATATATAAAATGTGTATGTAGCTTTTGTTGTCATTTATCGATATGTCTTTAGATGTGTGACATATATTGTGAAACACCCTGTATATTAGTAATTCTAACCAATCAAAGTGTTCAGTGGGCGGAGCGTTCAAGGAATTTCAAGTTTGTGACGAAATGTTATTATTAATGTAACTATGACATCAAAACATTTCGACATGGGATGTTAAAATCATACTTTAATTCTAGCAAAATGAGGACAACGATAATTTTTCGAAATGTCTGTGAAAATACTTTTTAAAAAATAATTTTAATGTTCTCGGACACGATGTATTAAACATCATACATTTCGAATATGATTGTTTCGGTTTTATTAAAACATTTATGGAATCGGAACTCTGGAAATAGCAAATTTATGGTTCCCCTCGGCAGGAAAACTCCCTCGGGGAACCATTAATTTGCTATTTCCCTCGTATCCATTTCGTAACTGTTTATTATAATGCTAATTTTGGTCACATGATTTCCTGTGAAATTGACCCCTGATATGGCCGTCTTTTAAGAAATTATACTGATGATTCCACTATATCCTTTTCTGTTTTCTGTAAAAGCTACTATCTTATACTTTAAAATACAGGTTTTATTGGTCAACTATGGTGTATTTAAAATGTTTTGATGCTTTTCAAAATTGGAAACAATTATTCTGTCCTTTTAGAGATGATACTGAAAATGTTTAAAATACATCATATAATATGTATTGAATTTTAATTGATTCCTCTAACCAAAAAATGAATTAAAAGTGTTCCTAACTGTCTCCAAATTAAAATCCAACAACCCAATGTCTTATGGTTCGACAAAAATAATTAATGAAATTTATATATGATAACAAACATATCCAATCATTGTTGTTTGATTGTGATTTCAATATAGTTCAGGTTATAAAAGTATTCCACACACCTATGTATGTGTAATAATCTAAATCTTAATTCGAAGCATCTTTTGTTTCAGGCTTTGATATTGTCTTTTTAATTTCCTGAATATCCGACATTACTGCCTTCATCATTTCATACTGACTTTCCATTTTAATTTTTTCTATAATAGCATCTTCCTCTTCCTCCTTTAAAGTCAGTTTTTGAATGCTATTAAGGTCATCCAGGTACTTCTTTCCAGTAATTTTTTCCAATCGTTGGCAGATATGCGATACCATCAACCAAGTGTCATCAAATTCTGTCTGTGAGGTAGAAGCTGAGCTCACGTGTGCAGTCAAAGAGTTTCGGATTATCTTTATTTGTTCGACATCATCACCCAACCTTATCGCTCCTGCTGCAGGCATATTTTTCCTCCCCATTTTCTTTTTGTTCGCTTAGGGATCTTTGAATAAATGTATCTGATCAACATATATATCAATGAAATATCAAAATTCTTATATCCAGAGCTTCTAACCACAAAAATTATTTAAAATTTTTTCTAACAGTTTCACCAAATTAAAATCCAACAACCCAATGTCTTATAACTGTGTTTCGACAAAAATAATAAATTAAATTTATATATGATAACAAACGTATACAATCATTGTTGTTTGATTGTGATTTCAATATAGTTCAGGTTATAAAAGTATTCCACATAGCTTTGTATGTGGAGTAATCTTAATCTTAATTCGAAGCATCTTTTGTTTTAGGCTTTGATATTCTCTTTTTAATTTCCTGAACATCTGACATTACTGCCTTCATCATTTCATACTGATTTTCCATTTTAACTTTTTCTATAATAGCATCTTCCTCTTCCTCCTTTAAAGTCAGTTTTTGAATGCTATTAAGGTCATCCAGGTACTTCTTTCCAGTAAATTTTTCCAATCGTTGGCAGATATGCGTCATCATCAACCAAGTGTCATCGAATTCTGTCTGCGAGGTGGAGGCTGAGCTCACGTGTGCAGTCAAAGAGTTTCGGATTATCCTGATTCGTTCGACATCATCACCCAACCTCATCTCTCCTGCTGCAGGCATATTTTTCCCTCCCCATTTTCCTTTTGTTGGCTTAGGGATCATTGAACAAATGTTTCTGATCAACATATATATCAATGAAATATCAAAATTCTTATATCCAGAGCTTGTAGCCTTTGTCAAGAGATCTTCTTGATCTGAGCGTAATGTTTTATAAATTGATGACGTCTTCACTTTGTTGTATACAAGAGAAGGGTGTATTTCCCACTCAAGCACATCTCTGTATGCCTGATTTAGCACATCGTTTGTTGCCATTCCTAGCTTTGCAAATCTTGATCGGTCTGCAAGTATTTGTCCAGTGCTGGAATTGTTCGCCTCTTTCTGAAACAAAACGAGCTTAAATTTGATCTAGCCAAACTAAAATAATTTGTGATGTCTACAAACAGAAAAAAATGTATAAAGCCCTTTCAGTTTTTTTCATAATTCAACCAATGAATTTAATCGAAACCAGATGACGTCTGAAATGTTTTAAGGTAATGGTAAATTTATGCTCTTCATATAATATTATTGAGCTTAAAGGATAAAAAAAAGAATCACTATATTGGCGGGTCATATATACAAATGAACAGACAAGGTGATTCATATACATGTATATACTCTGATACTAGTACACTCTTTGTTTGAGGAGTCGATGGGAGGGAGGGGGTATAATGGTAGAATGAGGCTTACCTTTTCCCAGAAACCGAGAGTCCTTTGTACATTTATCACATGTTTCTCTCGAATTCGACATTTGCATTGTGTTTCTTCAGCCTTGATTTTGGAGAGCTCGCTAGCATGGTTGAAAGACAAATCTTTCTTATTGCAAATAATGTTTTGACATTTGAATCCTCTATGGAATATTTTTTCTCCATGAAATGTTTCCGTCAACTTTTCTAAGGCAATTTCGATGGAGTCTCCTATTTCATATGATACCTCCTTATTCACAGCTAAGCGGCTGACACGTAACACTTGCAACTGTATATCATCATCACATATGCCAACAACCACACTGTGTTCTTTGTGATCAAACACTGCTGCTGTTTGATAAAGACATAAATCTCCTTCATTATCATCATCTTTTGCAACACTCCATCTAAGAAAACTTAAGCAGTACGCTATCAGCCTGTAGAACACAAACATGGCAAAGGAAGTGAATCGGAAGCACAAAATGGATGAGCATTCCCAGTTTTTGTCGGAAAATTCGGAATAAAACTGCTTTTTGTTCATACTTGGGACATACCATGACATGCCACCTTCTGACGCAGCTTCCAAAGACTCCAGAGGTACAAGCATTTGAAGCTTCTCCATGTAAGACATAATTTCACTTTTGTGTTTAAGGTATGAAGGTTCATCTTTCCACAGTGCGTTTACCACTTTGTTTTTAAGTTCCCCCGTTTTGTTGAAGGATTTCCATTCTCTGATTAATCTCCTTTTACAATCTTTATTGATATGATTTTCGTCAGCAATTATCTTGCTGAATGCATTAGCAAACCACTGAATGTCAAGTATTGCATGTTCCCTTAATTTCCCTTCTTTGAAATACAAAAGAAGTCCATTATCATGAAAGTACTTTAGAAACCTAGACATTTCCTCATCATTTTTAATTTGGTAGTCATCAGGAAGGGATGAGTTTAGCTTCCAAATTTCATCAAGGGACAAAACCTTCCAGCCTCCTTCATATAATAGCTGTTCCATTAGAGCCCACGAAGAAGGGATTTCAATTTTTGTATTTATCTCATCTGCAAATAGTTGGACTACAGACTTTTTAATTGATTCCAGCATTTCCCTTGTTTCGTCATTAAGTTCCACTAGACCCACAGAGTATTCCCGATCATTCAGAGACTCACTTAACCAATCTCTGTCCTCGTCTGGTACAGCTTTCCAAAACTCCTTAAGGTAATTTTCAATTTCCTGAAGAGGAGAACGAATAAAAGTATAAATAAATAACAGAGTGTTAAGGCGACGTCAATTGTACATGTATGTTAAGATGGTTAACATTCCTTAATAATAACACTGATGCAGGTATAACAGGGTATGTCTTTAACTAACTTGGGAAGAGACTTATTTCGAAAAGGTGAAACACTTCAATCACCCAAAAAATGGAAGGTCAGATGCAACAATTAATGCAGGTACAGTTACAGTGGCTGCAACGTCACTGTTGACAAACCAATTGAATACCAGAGAATTAGATTACAGATATATTTTGGTATTACTCTTGTGCAATTTTACTGATAAATGAAAGAAACAATCATTGGTTATAAATTATTTTAAATTTACAGTAAAGTATATTAAAGAATTATGTGTTTTGAAAATTACTTACTTCAATTAATTATATAATTTTTCAATCAGAAATTACATTTAAATATATCGAACTTTTAAAATACACATTTAGGTTTTCTTGTTAGACCACTATAAATTATATAAATAATATTGGTCCTTCAGATTTACAATTTACACTCCTCTTTACAGAAGGATGATTTGTGTTAGGTTTGGTTAAGATTGAACCAATGGTTCTTGTGAAGGAATTAGAAATATGAAAAGTTTACGATACAGACGACGGATATCGGATAATCAGAATAGCATTAATACCTACATCCTTTCAAAAATGTACATTTCATAACATTTTTAATTAATTTGCATAAAGAATTTTGTGTTTTCGTTAGCAATCGTTAGTGTTATATGTGTAGAATCATGTCTTGTTTTGGGTTTAATAGTGGAATCAATTTTTTGTAACCTGATCGTTCATGTATGTTGTAAACAATTACGTTGCAGCTATTGGAGTATTTTTCTTAGATGCACCATCTATGTAAGTTTGTTCTAATATGCTTATTGTTCCTTTATAAAGGACTTTCTTCAATTGAAATAAAATATTGAATATCAAACATTATGAAAGCTTTAAATCTTACATCTGAGGATTTTTGTTCTGTATGAGTAACAACAACAAACAATGGCGCCTTAGTGCCTCCAAATGTCTTGATTGAGGTTATCCAAAACTTCAGGTAGTCTACAAGTAAACGACGTCATTATAAATAGGAAATGGTGTCTTCTCTTAAACACCCAATTTTATGTTGACGCCCCCAAAATCTACCTGATTCAAGATCAATAATTTACCGCCTGTCAATCATTAAAAAAACAATAGCTTCTGATTTGATTGACAGCTCAGCTACCTGTGCTTCCTGATAATCTGAGTTTGCATGTTTTGAAAACAATTACCTGGTCACGCGTCAAACGCTTTCATGTACCCGCATAGTATACACGCGGATTAGAAAACTCCAATATGTTTGAATGTTATTTCAAAAAATAATTGAAAGTAGATTGACATAATAAAATATTTCTTTTTCTATCTTCATTTCTGTTTGTTACTTGTAAGTGTTATATCTTCCACGTTTATCTGTAGAAAAAAGACCGCGTCCACAGAAACCGGCTCTAATTGCCGCCGTAATTAGAAGTCCGACGAACTAAATTATTTTTTTTTAGAAATGGGATAGAAGAAAAATATTCAGCACTAATAAACGGCAAAGCATAGTTTTTAAAAGATGTTTTATTTTGCACTACGGCTACAATCCGCACGATGTTGCACAGAAATTTGATGTCAGAATTAATGCTCGAATTTCCTCTAGCGTATATACGTAATGAAAATGTGAAGATAACTAATAGAGATCGATTCTGAAAAGAAATCTTTCAAAAAATAAAATTTTGTTAACACACGAAGAATAAAAAATATGGATAATTTTTGACAACATTGTTGGCCATAAAAAAACACCATTCCGATCGCGGTAAATGCATGTTCACATGCACGACGAATAGGTGGATCAATATTTTTTTTTAATTTCAATAGTCAGACTTTTTTAATCAAGTGATTTCTTTTATTGAAGATTAAAAAAGATAAATTTTATTGATTTGTAGTTTTTACTCGTGAATTTTTCTTTTATGTAAGGAAAACATTTTCTAAAACGATATACATGAATCTTATTATTTTTTTCCTTCAAAACATTACCATGATTACGATGAAAGCGTTTAGTTTACAAATAAATTCCATATTAAAATAATTATTTTACGTAGTTTCACTCAAAACCAGACACAAAACACGTAATGTTGACCCCTGATTACCGAACACAGACTTCCTGTGTAATGCTACATATACACAAATTTTTGACATCTTGGGTATTGGGGGTCTCCAGGTAAATAACATCACTGTTACTTTGACCACTCCCCCTCCTCAGGTAACCGTACGGTAAAAAAATTGGGTCTTTAAGAGACTAAAGTTCTATTGGCGTATAATCACTGTGCCATAAAGTAGTATACTTATTTTCAAAGAAGATTAATTCAAATAAGACAAAAAAGGAAAAGGGGAACCATTTTGAAAGAAATTTCTTTTATGAGGTACCCATGTCAACATCATTTGTCAAATCAAAATTGAATAAAGAGAAATATATATATCACTATAAGATTTATTTATGTATCAAAGAACTTTATTCGGTAATAGCCAATATTTGTCCCCCAAATCAAACTTTGATGGAGATATATTTAATTAAGTTCTTAAACAGGGGAGTATATGCTGACTTCAAAGCACTGAATATTTTCATAAGTAATGACGCCATATGTACGTAATGACGTCACAAACATGACGTGAATTTCAGTTTTTTATGAACTTTACAGAAAAATGTACATATTTCCTCGATATTTTGAGTAAAAGTCACCGAGCGCATGTGTGTTCAGGATCAATAATTTGATATAATGTGTAGAATGATAATATCAATGAAATATGTCAACATTGTTCCTTAACAAACTTGCGCTCTATAAATTTTAAAGCTAAAATTGTTGAAATTTTGTCCATTTTGTCCTCTTTCTGAAAAAGGATATAAAATCGGACTAGTTTGTGACGTCATAAAAACAAAAATTGTGAATACACTGCTTTGACACTATAATATTTTCTGTTAATTTATATTTTTCATACAATTTATTGAATTCAGCACATTTCAGGAAGTTTTCAAAATTTGACTTTGGGGGGGGGGGGGGGATATATGTAATATACCGCATATAGTTCTTTAGATTGTATCAGATCAGACAGATAAACAGATGGACAGACACATAACTACCGCCATTTCCTCTATATTTGGTACTTATGTTAATTTTATCAAATGTTGGGGTCTTGGCAAATGATTTACACCCCCCTCCCCCTTGCAGTGGAAATATGGTGTTGTAACCTGTAAACTGAGGGAGAAAATATAACCTTTAAAAAAGATAAATAAATTGTATATGGAGATTGTGTATTTTCTTATCTTGGAATGTGATGATTACTTTCAATACAAAATTAACATTCATATGTTTTTTTTTTATTTTATTTTTTTACATACGCATAAAACCTATGAATAAATATTCAGTGGTCAAGTTGATGTTTAATGCATTTACTTTTAAAGAAGTGCAATGGTCTTTTAAATTAAACATTAAAAACCAAAACAAAAAAAATGAACAGATTAACTAAAAAATAATATTTTCAATATTAAATTGATAAGCAAAGCTAACTCATGTGTTTAAACTCTTGACCAACGAATACGAATTTCCAACTTTTTGAAGATTTATGCAGCAATTATTTTTTTTTAATCTAAACAGTCTGCCCGATGTATGTTTATGATTATTTGATTATCAAACACATTTTACCTTTGTATGTCCAAGCTGAGAAGATTGATCCTTCTTGATTGTCTTTCTCTTTATCGATAACATCTTCGAACTTCTTAGTCATGTCCAACACAAGGATGAAGAAGGCTTTTGGTGTTACGTAAATTTGGTGGCAGGCATAATACGCTAACTGACCAGCAAAATCCAGCATGCTTACAGTCGGTAATTTTTCTTTTTCAGACAAAATATTTTGAAAAATTTCATCTTTTACCATTGCTTGTGCTTCTAAAGAGAGAACAGCCGCCATTTTCTCTAATGTGTTCTCTTCTTCTGTATTTGTATTTTGTACATGCTCTTCTTTGTTTTCTTCTTGGCTATAAATTACTTCCGTTTCTTTATTAATATTTTTCCTTTCCAATTTATGTTCGATTTTATTTGAATCAGAACTGTCAACTGCAGTGTTCGGATCTGGTTTCAAATCAGCAGTGTGAACCCTTATAAATGTCCTTAATGTTGAGTCAATATCAGCAACTGTTTATATAAAAATAATCCAGTTTATAGACATTTTTTTTTATTTTAAGGTAATCCGATCCTCGGGTTCTGAAAATTGTTCATTGACAATTACAGAAAATGCTCACAAAAATTTCTCTTAATTCGAAAAGTAACGTGTTTTTTACCCGATCGACAAACACATTGTTGAAATAAAAATCATAGCTACCCAGGCTTTTGAAGAAATTACAATATTTTCATACATATTAGGTTCTTTAATTTCTTTTATTAACTTGCGCAGTGTAAAAATATTCATATCATTGCAAAAAACCATCAATCACTTTTAATTTCATATCATGTTAATAATACACTGGTATTCAAAGTTAGATTAAATGATCCTCAATTTCTTGAAATATTTTAAATTAAAATTACTTTTAGAGGTAAAAATTTCAACTTGTTATTACACCTTTCTGGGAATTTCAGAGAACTTTGAAACATATTGAAGCGTATGCAATGAAAGTTGTTGCATGAAAAGATAATAATTTTCAAATTTCATTTTAGTCTTTGTGATTTAAATTTATATGTTATCCTTCCTGGTTGAAGATCGGAGTACCTTAACAAATAAAAAAAAAAAGATGAAACAGGAGACGCATGGGCCACATCGCTAACATGAGCATTTTTTGTAAAGAAAAAAAGTTCAGTATTGGAAAATTAAATATAATAGGGACGTGGGTGGGGCATGCTTTAAACAAATACTATCTGAGGGTGCACCATAAACACTATCCGAGGACGCTTCTAAAATAAAAGGACTGATTGTATGTTATGATTGTTTTTATTTTTTTTTATTAGTTTTTCTACATGTATGTAGATATGTTCCTTCGAAAATCAAGGATTTCCATGCAAACAAATCTATTAATTTTACTACATGTATGTGTTCCTTTGTAAAAATTTATGAATCTATATATTCTATTTGTTTAACGCGTATGGTTATTTGTATATCTAGTCCGATATGGATAAAACTAAAGATCAATTCGACCACTGTATTTATAAGAAATTCTGAACATCATATCATTTATATTTAGGAAAAATCATATCCATAACATGTAAATTATTGATGAGAGATTCTCTGCCATTGAGTTATTTTATTCATTGTAAAAAAGGAAAAAAAGGAAAGATAACTCTTCAACAGAATTTAAAGAGTAATAATGTTTTGATAGTTAACCCCTTTCATATGTGTTTTCTTTTTATATATTAACATATTCGCCCGCGTTGCGCAGTGGTTAGAGCGTCTGCTCCAGAGTCGCAAAGTTAGGAGTTAATCCTTACATCGCGGGTTTGAATCCCACTGTGGGACGTGGAGACCGGTCAATCGGATTGATTGATTGTAAACTGATCAACGTCCCTCTTCAGAATATTTCACTATTTCATATATGGAGACGTCACCATTGCCGGTGAAGGGCTGCAAATTTAGGCCTATGCTCGGCACTTACGCCCTTTGAGTAGGGAGGGATCTTTATCGTGCCACACCTGCTGTGACACAGGGCCTCGGTTTATACGGTCTCATCCGAAGGACCGCCCAATTTAGTCGCCGTTTAAGACAAGCAAGGGGGTACTGAGGACCTATTCTAACCCGGATCCCCACGGGGTCCGGTCAATTGGATGAGACCGTATACTAGTAAACTGAGGTTTCCCTAACCCTAACCCTACTTATCAGTATAAACTGAGATCCCGTGTCGAAGTTGGTTCTGGGACGAAAAAAATCCCTCCCTGCTCAATGGCCCTGAGTGTCGAGCATAGGACAAAATTTGTAGCTCTCCACCGGCAAGTGGTGGTGTCTCCATATGAGTGAAAAATTCTCGAGAGGAACGTTAAACAACATACAATCAATCAATCAATCAATCATATTTACATAATTATATTTTTGAAAAAAATCATAATTAGCTGAGGATGTTTTTGCAAAGCAAATTTAAAATTTTGTCTATCTATGCATCTGAAATAAATTCTAACCTTCCAGAATTCCGTCTCTAACAATGAAGAGATGTTGATGGACTTCCAGTCCCCTGGTGGACTCAGTAACTTCACCGACATCCTGATGTTGCCCTCTTAATCTCTTCAGCAATGTTGTTAATCCCCTGGATGACTTCGAAGCTTTCCTGAAAGTTTGACTTTGCCCTCTTAATTGCTTCAGTAGTGTTGTTTTTCCAGCCCCAGCACATCCAACAAGTATTCCTCTGGCATGGGAAACAGTTGTCTTCTCCTTCCTCAGAAACGTCTTCAACTCATCAATATTAGCCTTATCTAAATCATCAATGCATGCACCTGAAAATTATAAATTTAAAGTCGTATACTTAATTAGTGTTCACCCCCTCTTGACAAATCAAACCAAACAAAACGTAATTCAAAAATAGCTAAATTATGTTCTAAATCTATAGAATCTATGATCTTCTTTTTCATTTACTTTTATGTAAAACAAAGTATAGGATAATCATATAAGCTCTAGGAAAACGATTTGAATTTGAAATCTTGACAATCAGTCTTTTGACTGTTATACTAGGGACTTACTGGAATCAACAAGCCTACTTAAACTTTCTCTGAAGAACAAAATAACTCTTTCAAATCTTATTGAGAGAATTCTATTATTATGACGTATCTGATAACCTGTTTATACTTTTCATTCAATCATCATTGTGTTTCTATTTTAATCTTAAGTAAACATGGTAAAGAATTAAAAACAACAACGACTTTATGTTCAGAGCCTCGTCAATATTAAATATTCACCTCGTTAGTTCTATTTATTACTTTTTTAACAATCAATAAATTCAGAATAAAATAACTTACCAGGAAGATCATCCCCTTCATTGATAAGTCTGTAAATGTTTACTGTGTTGTTGTACCGTGATCCAACCCAGAGAAGATGTGTATCACAGTCATAACTCAGGCTTCGTGGTACGTATATCCCGTGTTGTTCTGTCTCGAATTGTGACAGAAAACGACCATCCTTGTCAATCATCTGTACTGCTTTAGTGCAATAATCACACAGCAGTATGTGTGACTGCGCGTCAGTACAGATTCCACGTGGATTTAGCCCTGATCCTGATGGAGGACCTGTGTAGGTGAAACGGTGTCTACCTACACGATCTGTCACCACTACAGCACCACGGTCATAGTCAGACACTATGACATCTCCATTGCGGTTTTCTGTGATGAAGAGAGGGCATTCATACAGTCTCTGACCTGTGTTGCTGTGTTGTATGGTCTGTATGTGTCGTCCTGTGTTATTGTAACGGTTTACCTGGCCTGTCAATGTGTCACGTCTAAACATCCCGACCAGCAGGTCACCAGTGGAGGGGGAGCTGTAGACACACTGTGGTCTCCATGGTGCTGTGTTATACTTTATTGATGTGGTCTTTACTTTGTTATCTTTAGATAGTTGGTTGATGTTATACTCACTGTCTATATAAATTAATTCACCAGCACCAGAAACCGTGTGTACTCCAGTATAATCACTATATACACCTGTCACATGATCTAGTTTGTCACCTTTTGTGTTTGTCAAGATGAGATTATTTCTATCACAGATCCAGACCCGGTCTGAAGTTATGTGGTAAATGTGACGAACAACACTAACACCTGTCACTCTGACAGATTTCTTTAACACAAATCTATACATCATAGACAGCACATATTTCTTTCTCGTCCTTTTCTTATGATTTCACGCTCCGATTTTGATTTCGTTCGGTCAGGGAGATTTCTTCTGAAAATTACATCATGCAATTTGAAAATAGGTCCATCTTCACGTATTGTATAACAAATCTCTCTTTACATAATTCATGACACAAACTGTTCAGTTCCGTTACTGATTCCTTTAAAATATTTATAAGCTTTCCCATTTACATCATAAGTTGCCTTCTTTTTAATTATTTACATCACTACAATTGTGTCATTTTAAATCATAGATAAAAATCAAGTCATACCTTTACACACATGTAGATCTCTTAGACTCTACCGACTGTAGTCAAGGTGATGTAAAGGCCTCTATTAATGAACAGAAATCTGCTAAAACAATAAAAACATTTATGTATCAAAATCAACAATTTAATACTGTCATATTATTATAACGAATTACCAATCCCACATTTGTTTAAACGCAATCAATTAACCAAAAACTTTACTGTGTGTAATTTTCTACTATTACCGTCAAATAATTAAAGACTATTATGTTTTACGGTCTGACCGTAGGGGCGAACGCAATTGTACATTCGAATATACACCTGAAAAATTGATCCGCCACTTCAAACGTCAAGTGATCTTTATCGTAAGTGCCGAGCATAGGCCTAAATTTGCAGCCCTTCACCGGCAATGGTTACGTCTCAATATTAGTGAAATATTCTGGATAGGGACGTTAAACATTATACAATCAATCACTCAATCAAGATATCTAGACTATGGCGTCACACGAGAGCTCGTCGGGGTTTACGGAAACAGCCGAGTTGAAACTACAGATCTAGTGCAATTTTTGTCTAAAGTTATTTTTTGTTTCTTTCAAAAATGTCTACGAAGTGAAAACTTTTTATGCTTTACGTTATCATTTATTAATATATTCACGCAAAGGGTAGGGGGAAGTAAAGGCATTCTGGGAAGGTTTCACCTAAAAATTTGCAGAAGGATAAAACGTGCGCAAACGTAGGACCTTAGGTCTTCTGCTCAGTTCACGCCTGTTTACTCCACTACAAAATGCAGTGTTTTGCATAAAGTGAAAATAGAATAAATCGTACTACTGTGAAGCATTTAAAATAAAAAAAAACAGAAAATTTATTTTGTCAAAAGAATAAACATCTGATGGATATCAGAAAAGAAAGGGGGGGGGGGGGCAACATTAACTGCAATATTATAAGATATATACAAGTTTAACTTTTAAAAAAGATAGCTGAGCTAGCGCCATAGCAATTTTTAAATACAGAAAGGAAGGTCCGTGATCAAGCGATTTATTTTGCTGATTTTTAATGTTTATCGAAGCTGGGGCGTGATTAAGTTATCAATATTTTTGTGAAGTGTAATTATATCGACACATAGGTAAAGAAACGAGGGGGGTGGAGGTTGAAGTTTTTGTGCTGACCCATTGAAATTTCCAGAGAGTTTCAAATGTGAAGAAGTGAAGTAACTTGGCTCTCTGGGTCATCTTTGTAAAGAACTGTACATGTTAGGTTAAAAACCATACAAAGATTTTTTTTTAAAAAAAATAAATTGAAACGGAAATGGTTGTTTAGTTTCGTACAAACGTTAGACCTACGTTTTCTTTAGATTTCTTAAACACTAAAAAATATTAATTTTCAGATCATACAAGTAGTATGAATCTGCCATTATACTGGGACTGCTCTGAAGTAATACACGCTGTATAAGTGTATTGAAACCTCCCTGGAGACGGTGTTTGCTACAGATTTCAGCTGTGTGTCGTCTTATACATTGTAGTAAGACCTGAATAAGGCATACAGTTGCGGAGGGCACATAGCTGAGGATTACGATAGCCATAACGTGAGACCTGAATAAGGCAGTCACTTGGTTATACATTGAGAGAGGTGGCATACCACGAATAGAGGTGGGGGAAGTGCTAAGAGGCAGTACAGTCGTAGTGGCAGGACAAGAAGAAATTTACTTACGGGAGACACCCGTTGACCACAGCTAGTGGTTATGCAATCAAGAAGAAACTGTTTATATTGAATTATTGTATTGTATTTGTACATATTTTATTTGGTCAACAAAAACCTGAGTTAACAGGTTAACGAACCTAAGTGTAACGCCTCGGTGATACAAGATATATCACCAAACACCAAGCTCGGCCGCGTTGCACGTAACAAAATGATGTATATTTTTCGTAATTTCAGGGTAAATTCTTGTTTAAAGGCAGAGATTTTAAGCACCGCCATTAAAAAAACACCTGGTCTGGGTAGCCCTGTCAATCAAGTGCATGAAGGTCCATCATTGGGTGATGGAAAATGCTTGGCATTTACTTACTAGTCCCAGTGTATACCCTGTACACCTTGTTTTGCACTCGTGTGGACCTTTGAATTAACTTTTGATCCTTTGATGTATACCGAACATGGTATGGAGGGTAAACTAGTATGGACAAACTGTACTACTATTTAAAATTTTTGAAAGTATTATAATAATATAACATACAATTTTTAAAAATAATTAAACTTTGGTACTCACTTTTTTTTAAATGAAATTTTAATTATTCATTTTAATACTATTATGCTAAACCTGGAGTGGAAATCTTGTTGATTATAAGTTAAGAACAGCACTGTGTGAAGTAATTCATTGAAAAATATTTATAAATGTTTCAAATCATGAGTGACATATTTTTCTTTGTTATTCAGATAGAAATTTACAAGCAACTTTTCTAGCATGTTTTTTGTACCAAACTATAGATTAGGATATTCCTAAACAAAATATTGAAAATAATGTAGTTTTAAAACATGACTCTCTTTTCATTTAAAGATGGGATCCTGGATATGAATGAATTAAGTCTAATTTTGTTGTTACTTTAGATTTTTTTTTAAATTAACACATACACTTCCATCTAAAATAATCTTTGTTTGAATATTTGATTTTATATTTTAAGTCGTAATAATTTTTAATGGGTATAGGGGTGTTTTCAAACATTCAAGAATAATAAATATAGATTATTGAGAAAATGCTTTACTTAAACTTTTTACTTCTACTTTAGAATTGTCTCAAAATCTCCAACACAGGTAACGTTTGACATCTGAGGTGTTTCACTGTGTATTGAATCACTTCCTGTGTATAGGGATTTGGAGACAGATGACCACAGGTAGACTTTTAGTCCCCAAGGCATTCAAACCTCTACAAAATAAGCCCCTCCCTCACCTGGAATTTACCACCCGGTAAAAAATCTCTGCCGTTAAAGAAGACAGGGTGGCGGATGGCGGTATGCGAATTTGGCGTTATAAAGAGAATTTAATATAGCAGGAAAAACGTTCTAGGGAAATTATGGCGGTATTGCGAAAATGGCGATGAATCGAGAATTGACTGTATATTAGTTTTACATTTATTCATTTACCAAAAGACATGCAGTCTCTGCATTTGTAGATCTCTAATAAGCAGGGGGAGGAGGAAGATCTTGCCCTCTACCACCTCCTACCTCTTCAATTTGCTCGGACTGTTCACCGAACCTTTAATATAATGGAATAATTATTTTAAATAAATTATTTAATGTGTCATGTTTCAAGAGGCGACCTCATCAGTTTTTAGCAAGCCACCGATTTAATTTATCTTCGAAGATGTACACGCTGAATTACGGGTTACGGGGGAGTTCTCATCCTCCTTTCCCTGGTATTTACACATCAAATTCATTAAGAAATAAACCTTAAAATATGCACCAATTGTGATTTACTATTGGATCGATGCATACACTGTATTTGAAGACAAGCAAGTTGACTTATTCTCCAAATTCCAATTATATAAATTTAGCGAATTCGGAGATATTGTACACTTGTGTCCCTGTCAGAAAATTAGGGTCGCAATGTTTGTTTCTTTTTTGTTTTTTTTTTTTTTGTTTTTTTGTTGTTTTTTTTTTGAGTGGATATGAAAAACAATTCTACACATACCACAACATTAAATTATTGCCTACTTAAAACTTTCAGTGATATCGTATCAATGTACAACATAAGATTACCTTTCCTTCATTCATATACTACAATTTGTGAGCTATGAAATCCTTTTTGATATGTAAAACTCTGCGTGTTTCAATAATCTTTATGCGGATTAGAGGTAACAAAAAGTTTATATGACAAAGGGTTACTTTATATTGTATATCATTAGGGGGACCAAAGGTCAATTTATGTTGTACAACAGTAGGGGGACCAGAGGTCACCTTATTCTGTACTTCAGTAGGGTGACCAGAGAATCACTTTACATTGCACATCGCTAGAGGAACAAGAGGTTACCTTATACTATACATCAGTAGGGGGACCAGAGGTCATCTTATGTACACATCAGTAGGGGGACCAGTAATCACCTTTCATGTAAATCAATAGGGGGGTCAGAGATTACCTTATTTTATCTAATAGGGGGACCAGATGTGGAGGTCACCTTATGTATACATCAATAGAGCGACTAGGGTAACCCTATATTGTACATCATTATGGTACCTGAGGTCACCTTATATAAACATTATTAAGTGTACCAAAGGTCAATTTATATTGTACACAATTAGGTAACCAAAAGTCACTTTGAATTGTACATAAATAGGGAGACTCGTGGTCCCCATTGTTGTACATTTTAAGGAAACCAGACATAAAATAAAATTTATCTGAATGAAGAGATAAGGCATCAACGATTCTAGACTCCTTTTAACTTAGAGACATTTCAAAAGAAGATAAGGGCGGAATAGAGGTTACAGATAAATTACAGGATACCAGAGGTTCTCTTATAAGAACACGACATATGGGTCTTACAGGTCATTTGAACATCATGATCTTTGCAACATTCGCAATTTTGAAAAAAAAAACATCATTGCTCATCATAACTGTATACTTAGCACGTATGTGTTCCGTTCCTCTCTAATCAGCACACCGCCTACCTGTGCGGTCAACAAGCCCTCCCCCTTCTCCCCTATCCCCCTAAATGACACCTCGGCCCGTGTGTTAA